AAGGTGAAAGGTAAGGAAAGGAGGGGAAATTTATCAGGGCCAGAACCTGAAGAGTCTGATATTTCACAGTTATTATATCATTCTATAAGGATGGAAATGCAGAGCACTTAAAATATTTCAAATAGGGAGGAGCATGCTACTCAGATTTGTGTTTAGATAGATTGTTCTGGCAACCTTGTGGAGATGGATTTGAAAATGATAAGACTAAAGTCCGAAGAAACAATTAGGACACTGCTTCAGTAGTTTAGTGAAAGACAATCAGAGATTGAACTTATATGGTAAGGGGATGGAGAGGAGGGGATAGATTCAAGAAATATATTTATTTGCAAATTATATATAATCGCTATCTATATGTCTTGATGACCAACTGAATGTGGAGAAAAAGAAGAGATTAAGATCAGTGGATGCACAAGTGAAATAGAAAATATAAGAAAAAAGGCAGGTTTGGAGAAACGATGATGAGTTCAATTAAGGACTCACTGCATTTGAAGTTCACAGGAACACGTGAGTGAATATATACAGTAGGCAGCTGGGTGTATGAGTCTGAAGGTCAGTGGAGAGGTTTGAGTCAGATACACCATTTTTTTTAAATCAACTTCATTGAGGTATAATTCATATAAAGTTTTCACTAGTTTTACATCTGGTGGGTATTAGTATACCATCATGTAATCACTACCACAATCAAGATATAGAATATTTCCGCCAGTTTCCTCCTGTCTTTTGGAGATACCATTTGGAGAGTCGTCCATAAAAGGTGGTAGTTAAAGCCATGAGAGTGGATGAAGTACATGCAGAGTGAAAGTAGCAGTGAGGACACTAACTTACAGGAGCAGGAAGAGGAAGCAGAAGGCTACAGAACATCCAAAGAGGTATGAAGGGAACCAGGAGGGAAGACAGAAGTTCAATGCAGAGGGAACGGCCAATAGTGACAAGTAGAGCAGTAAGTAAACTAGAATAAGTTTTGCATTCTTGGTCAATTAGGTCAGTAGAGACCTTAGAGAAGTCAGTTGCAGGAAAGTGATGGAAGCAGAAGATTCCTTGCAATGGGTGGAGGAAGTGAATGACAAGACAAAATAAGACAGCACTACTGCGAGGATTTTATGAAAAGGACAGGGATGAATTTGCAGCTAGAGGAAACTGCCAGTGGAATTGTGAAAAGAGAATCTTGAACCTGGGGTTAGAGGCCTGCATTCTCAGAGCGTCTTGTCTACCAGTTACTAGCTGTGTGATCTTAGACAGATCCCAATCTATTTGGGCCTTTTTTGCTGTTTGTAAAATAAGGCAGCCTAATCAGATGATCTGCATTGTCCCTTCTAGTTCTGATTCTGTGGCGCTATATGTGCATCTAGCAACATGGAGATAATTGGTAACCCTTGCAAGAGTAATTTCAATGGACTGATAGGGATGGTGTGAATTGAAACGTGAGTAAATAATTCTCAGAGACACCTGGCTAAAAACAGTCCTGTAGAAATGGAGGCAGAAGAACACATGCTTCCAGTATCATCATGAGACAACATTTTGAGGTCCAGATGGGCAGCACCTGACCAGAGAGCCAAGCCAGTGTCAATGAACGCCAGAAAAAGAACTAACATTTATTCAACACATAGTAAATGTCAATAACTCTGCAAGATGCTTCATATGTGGAAAAAGCTGGATGGCCAGTGTTCTTCCTGTCTCAAATTATCTCTACCATTTATGGAATCATTGTAGGCTATGCACAAATTTAGATCATACTTAACATTTGAGGAGCAAAAGGAAATGAATAGGCCACCCCCAATTTTATCCTAAACAAAGGCTCCATAAAACTTAGATTAATAATCAAAGGATTTTGGCACAAAGAACACATTTTTCACAAATTCAGAAAGCATTACACAGAAGAAATGGGGTTCAAATTCAGATCTGTCTTCAACTCCAAATTTCTCCATTACATGACAGCTACCTATGATGAGCCTTCCTTTGTGTCACATGCCTTGTCTTTCCTCCACTTCTTGGCTTGTAGGAGTTTATGTAGTACTCACCCTTCCCTAGATTATACCTAAATCCCTTTTAAATAGGTAACCTAGTCTTGACGAAATAACATTCTTTTCAGTCTTTAAAAGATGCATTCCAGTGTCTACCAATACCTTTATGTGATTGTAAGTCATAGTCCTGAAAAATTTAATCTTGTTCTTGATGATCTCTATGTATCCAGGTTTTATTACCTCCTGTGGTCTTCTTTTCTCTTCTGATGTCTCAATCCTCAGCAAGAAGAGATGAAAATACCACCTATATCACTAAGTCCTTCAATTCCTACCTAGGACATCTAAGTCAATAGAAACAGACGTCATACTTCTTTTTGATATAAAATTTATTCCCACGTGGCATACCTGTCTTTTGGCAAAGACTTAACGTAATAATTTCTCTTTTACCTACACTGGTGAAAAATTTACACATTACTCATAATGAAAAGTCACAGAAGCATAACTCAGCTAACAAAAAATGTAAACAAATTAGTATTTATTATATGTCTTTTTCTTGCTGACACATTATTTATAGGCTTCTTTTGGTAAAACTTTACATATGTTTACATAATTTTCTATGTCAAGTCCAAATATTATGGTCTACTGTACACTTTTAACTGTAGAGAGTTTCAGAAAGGAAGTGGGCACATAAAATTTTATGACTTAAACAGTATAATGAAGAAAAATAATAACAATGATGAAAATTTGAATAAATTAGTGAACTTCTGAGGACAAAGGAAACATGTACAACTGAATCCTAGTATCTGCTCAATTAAGGGCATTGTTACAAGGTCTTATTAATCAGGTTTAATAAAGAAGTAGCCTTCTGCATAAGGAGTCATTTTAACTCTCAGTAGCTAGGTATTAACAAAACACTACCATAAGAATTACAATTAAAAAGTACTTTAAAAAATATTTCATATATTATTCTATGTATGTGCAGGATGTAGTTAAACCTTATAATTATCTTAAGATTTTAGGCATAATTAAAGACTTGACCATCCCTTAAAGATGTTCTTCTAATCAAGTAACTCTAACCAAATTAATGTGTAAATATGTTCTCCTTCCTTTTAAAAACATTTCACTTCAAATGGTATTATAATATATCTAGCAATTTAGAAATATCAGAAAATAGCATCCGGGAGACGATAAGAAGAAATAGGCATATGCCTTTCCACAAACAATCCACTAAGACACAGGAACCTGGTTTTGCTTGCTTTTAAATGAACACATACCACCACACTCACACATACGCATACACACAAATAGTTATTTCAAATCAACTTTATATGCTATTTAAATTAAACATGAATATACAAACTCCTCTATACCAGTTAAGCATATCAAAATAAAAAAGGGGGAGAGGAGTAATTTTCTGCATAAAATTTTTTTTTAATTCTCATTCATAAGCACTTTAAAAATAAGACATTTTCAGGACAACTGGGGAAATTTGAATATGGACTTCTTATAGAGATATTATAGATTTACTTAATTTCTTTAGCTGATTTAGTTAATTGCCTTAGCTAATGATATTATGTTTATTTAGGAAAATGTCCTTATTCTTAGGAGATAACATGATATCTGAAACTTACTTTCATGTCGCTCAGTTTAATAAAAAAGGTTTCAAAGAGAGAGAGAAACGTGACAAAATGTTTCTATCTGGTAAATCTGTGATATAGATACATAAACACATGCTCATTGTGTCATCCTGTTATCTTTTCCATATCTTTAAACATTTTTGAAATAAAAAGTTGAAAAAAATTTCATTTCATATGATTATAACTACCAATATTTGTTTCAAAAGAAATTACTTGATTCAACACATGAGGCACGAGCCATTATGAAAACCATGTTCTTCCAGCTGTCCTCATCAGTTTGAAAGGACTTCATTTATTTAAATGAGAGAAAGGTGCAGATTTACTTGAGCAGGAGAAAAACGAAAGCAGCTTCAAAGTTTGGGAGCTTGCCTGTCACGCAGATGCCACATTTTACAAGGATGGGCTCTGTGTTAGTCTTCCACTTCTCCCCTACCAGCTGACTGATGGCTATCTGCAGGGAGATGCAGGGGGGCCTCCAAGAGGGTGTGAATGCAGAGACAAGATAAGGAAAATGCAGTGACCCCAAACTGAAAGGAGATGGATCTCCCCGGGGTTTTCATTTGGATGGATCTCCAGATAGGGGCAGGTAGGGAAGTGGAAAGAACTATTAGAAACCAGGTGATAAACCACAAAGAAGTTATAACAAAGTGAGCCAACCTCTGCTCAGCTCCAAGGAATGATCACTCGGAAAACTATTTCATTGTAAATGAACTTGTTTTTTGTACTCATTGTAGCAAAGAAAACATGAAACTATACAAACTAAGAAAAAACCTACTAATTTTGAAACCCAAACCCAGAGAGCGAAGACGCTGGGCTGGTGCCTTTAAAAGGAAGGTTGGGCATGTGGTGCTTAATAAATACAGGGGCTTTTAGAAAATTCTGTTGTGAGAAAATATTTTCCCCACTACTCAGAAGACAAAGAAAAACAGTGAGGGTCGAGAACACAGCATTAAAAAGCCATGTCTACCCAATTTGTTATCCACAAATATATATATTCTTTTTAATTTACCCTAAGCCAGCACGTTGGCTCATAGTATCTTACTTTTATGTCATTATCTCTCTGCCATACACACAAGTCATAGCTGGGGATTTCAACTCGCGGTGAAGCTATGCTGAGATTCCAGATCTCAGTGGTGTTGGCATGAGCGCCGGTCTCTTCAGTCATAGAGAAGACAATATCCTAGGGAGACTGGAATTAGTCCTATTTTGCACCATTCAAGCCAAAATGCTGCTTATCAAGAAGCAAGTAATTGCTAGCTAATGGCTAGGGGGGAAAAAACAGTGCATTTCAATCTAAGCATCTCTTGGCACATGTCAATGAATAAAGCCAGGAAAGTGTAAATGTAAAGTGGAGACAGTTTCTTGAGGAGGTTAAATAGCAAACATTAAAAAGGCAAGTTACCTCATCCGACTGGGAGGGACTGATTCTGGGCATTGGCGATACTTGCGGAGTTTTCAACTGTGTGCTATTGCTATCTGGCACGAGCTCTCGGTGGACCGTTTGGATGTGGTTCTGGAGTTCACTTTCAGACTCAAACTTAACGTTGCAGCTAGAGCAGCGAGTCTTCAGTCCCCCTGCCTTGCCTTTTCCCTCAAGGGCACTCAGATTCTCATTCTGGCCCAAGCCTGGTCTATTCGTGCCGGGAGGGATGTTGATGCCTGGGCTGCCGCTCTTACTGAGATTCACACAGCCAGCACACAGACCATATGGCAGGCCGTTGATGTCAAGTTTCACCAGATCTTGCTTGGAACGGAATTCTTTGAGGCAAGATGCGCACTTGTACAGTTTTTGGACGTGCTGGCCACGCCCTGTGGTCTGAACCGCAGACCCATTCCCTGTCTTTTGCATGTGGAATGTCCCATGGATTTTGAGTTCTAAGGTGGAGGTCACTGTCTGCATGCAGACCACGCAGCGAAATCCTGTGAGGGAATTCCTCAAGTCAGGATGCATTTGGCAATGCTCTAAAAACTCCTCTTCACTCTGCAGAGGCATCTTGCAAATCCGGCAGTTTCCAGTATCGAGACTCTTACTGTGGGTGACTTTGTGTTCGGTAAGAGTTAAGAGGGAGGGAAACCGCTCTCCACAAATAGGGCACATGTAGTGTTTGACAGGGCCTAGGTGGGTCTGCATGTGTTCACGTAGGCCATTTTCCGAGAAGAAGGTTCGAGAGCACACGTTACACTTGTAATTCCCTTTAATGAGCTCGGCTTTCTTCTTCACGATGGCACTTTCTCCAGGTCTGATGTTGTGGTCTCGGAGCTGGTGGTTCTGCAGCAGAGTTTCCATCGTGTAGGCTGCCCCACAAATGTCACACCCATACATAGGCTCCGAGGTGTCCACATCTTCTTCGCTCCCGTCATGACTGTTGTGGGACTCTTGGCTGTTGGTCAGCAAGGTCTGCAGCTCCACTTCCTCCTTCTGCACTTGTTCAGAAGCCCCATTTGCTCCACAGTTGGGAGTCTTGGTTTCAAACACACAATGCTTTTCCCGCAAGTGTTTCTCCAGCAAAATGATGGCATGGAAGGCTTTGCTGCAGAACTTACAGTTGTACTTCTTACTGTGAGTGGTGATGTGGCACTGAAGCTCCACCTCAGTGCCAAAGGACTCGCCACAGAAAATGCACTTGTGCACTTTCCCTTGATTTTCCAGGTGGTTGTGTTTCACGTGGAGCTGCAAGTCGGTCTCATTGCGGAAGTCCCAGTTGCAAGACGTGCACCTGTAGACTTTCTTTTCGTTACTGTGTTTTACAGCCAAGTGAAGTTGAATGGAGACTTTTGAGTCAAAAACTTCTTGGCAGAGGGTGCAGCGGAAGAAGACAAAGGTGTGCATGTCCAGCAGGTGTTTCTGAAGGTCATCCACTGATGTGAACTGCTTATCACAACTCTCGCAGATATAATACGTTGAGGTGATCATAAAATGAATGGTAACGTGCTTCAGCAAGGATTCTTGGTTGGGGAATTCCTTGTTGCACTGAGGACAGGTCAATTTCGGAAGCACAGTGTCCAGATGAGTTTTTAGGTGAGTCTGAAAGCTGTCTAGGGATGTGTACTTAGCACCACACTGATTACAGATATATTCTCCAGCCGGACGTGCAGGCGCACCTCCCACTGCCTGCATCATCTTAAGAGATGTCTGCTCTATGGCCACAGGAGAGAGGGGGCTCAAGGCCCTGGATTTTTTCCCATTATGAATATAATTCAGGGCCAAGGGAATGTTTTTATGATTCTCTTTGATATGCTTGTTCAGTTTAAGAACGCTGTTGAATATTGGAGAATTCGTACAATAGGAACAAGAATACACTTCTACTACTGGTTCTTTTGGAGTCCCAAGCACTGGAGACCCAAATCGGGAGCCACTGAGGTCGCAATGGACCTGTCTTATATGCTCTTCAAGGGAAGAGTCAGTGAGAAACCCCATGTAGCAATGGGGGCAAAAGAACGCGTTGCTGTCCTTAGCTGCAGGGTTTGCAAATCCGTGAGAACATCGGATGTGTTCCTGAAGAGTGTTGAGGTCGTTGACAACTTCAGAGCAGAAGTTACACTGGTAGACTATGGCGGGCATGGCAGAAACAATCAGACCTGGGTCCTGAGCTTCATGCACTTGCTTAAGATGTTCATTTAGGTTATAGAGTGAGGGCAATACCTCCAAGCAATACTGACAAATATGGGCCTGTTCGGGCTTATCTAAATGCATAGTTTTCAGATGAATCTGCAGAACTGCCAGACTTGAAAATAACTGCTTGTTGCAGTAAATACAGCTGTAGGTAACTTTTGCTTGTTTACTCGAGGGCACAGTCATGTCAGGGGTCTGCTGGGCAGCCCTCTTTCTCCCTCGACTCTTTGGGATTGGCGGGGCAGCTTCCACCATGGTTGAGCTGTCCACTGAGAGGTTGGAATCTGGAGTCGTGCTGGACACAGAGGTGTAGCCCACCGTGACCAGGGAAGGGCTGTTGCTGTGATTGCAGGACTCGGGTTGCTGGTGACTATCCATGTGGCTGTACAGTTCCTCAACTGTGTGGAAACTCTCAGAACAAATGCTGCAAGAGTTCTTCTTCTCCCCGCCGTGCATCTGCTCCATGTGGTTCATGAGGGAGGTCTCCTCTACAAAGAGCTCGTGGCAGTAGACACACTGGAGGGCTGCTCGGTCCTCATTTGGGGAGCATTCAGGGTGGCACTCGGCAATATGCTTCTGGAGGTCTTCTGGGAAGTCAAAGCCTTCCTCGCACTGACTGCACTTCTGAGTGTCCTTCATCTTCCAGTCCTCCATCCTGGAACCGGACTGGGAACCGTCCTTGTTCCTCTCGTGAACCTGCATGTGTCCATGTAAGGAACTAGAGGACAGGAAGCCACGGCGACAAATGGCACATTTATATGGCTTGTTGGACGTGTGAGTCTTTAAGTGGATCTTCAAGTGATCACTTCTGGAGAACGCAGCATCACATTCACTGCAGTGGTACTTCTTGTCCCCTGTGTGGAGTTTGATATGGCGATCTCGGCTCCGCTTGTGTTTGAACAGCCTACTGCAATAGGTGCATTTGAAAGGCAGTTTGTCACTGTGACTCTGCTCATGGTGCTTTAGGTAGCTGAGGCGGCTAAACGACTTGTCACAGAATTGGCATGGATATGGGAGTCCAGGGCCGCCTTCTTCCTCTCCAAAATCACACCCTTCTCCATGGCTAGGGGAAGTCTGGTCCTTGCTGGATGGTGAGGAAGCTGGCCAAGAGCAAGTGGGATCATCTTCAACATCCACTCCATCTGAAATGAGAAGCAATGAAACATTCCACTTTACGTACTGAGAATTCAAGAACGAGTTTACTGTACCATTTCAACAAGTACACATAGCTGGGCCATTTACAACCTTTCAGGAAGAAAAATAGGGAAGAGAATATTTGAGTGGAATACTTAAAATCTGAGCCCAAAGCTTTTATTCTACATTTACTTTTTACTGGGCTGTAAAATATAAAAAGATATTAAATAGTTCTATGTCTAAATTACACTTTTATTACTTTTTATCATTCTTCCTTAGAAGCAAGGTATATATTACACATTGACAATTTTATTAAAATGCAGATTTTAATATATTTAATGTTTCTTTTGTATTCATTGTAAAATGATTTGCATATTGTGTGAGCATCTGAAGAGCCAAATGAAAAGAGGAAATATTACAGGAATGATTTAAAATTAATGCAGTCAACCCAGATGTCTAATATTTAATAAAAAATTCCCTCTGCATTTTGCTTGTTTTTATATAAAAAGGCAATTCTGAAGACCAAAATCTTTTATGGGGTTCTTATTGATACAGACCTTATTGCTTTCAGCAAAAAAATATTAAAAAGTAAGCACATGAAAGAAGACAGAAAACACAATAATAATTACGTCTGTGTAATGAAAGACAACTAGGATTTCTTCAATAACTGAAAGATTCGAATACCATAGGCCAGAAAATGGATTATTAAATGTTAGAAGGGTATTGCCTGATATTACATGTAGCAAGGATCAGCCAGGATCAAGAAAAAATGAGAGTTTCACAAGGGCCAGATTGTAACAGTGTATTTTGTTTGGAAAGTTCAAGAGGTGGCCCACCATTTCTTCCTTTTGTAAAAGCTTCAGCAGCATGAACTTCCTTAGCCAAACAGGACCTGCACTTTGAGGTGAGCAGAGACAAAGAAACTTGTGAAAAACTGGAAACAGGAAAAGTGATAAATGATTATGGTAAATGCTGAAAGATTTATGAGTAACAAAGAGAAGACAAACAAGACTGAAAGCCAGATATAACCTTAGCAAGCTATCCATAAAGTAACCCTACCTCATATTAGGTGGCTTTTTAACTATGTCCTTAGCAAATGTGTATTCTTACTTCTGTGCTCTCTTAACATCCAAGTGGAAAATAAGACCTTCTCCAATGGGTTTTGAAACTTCTTTTTTGCTTTTCAAAACAATCTATCATTCAAGATCAGAAAAAATCGTAAAAGCTTTTCACTCTGCAAAAGAGCAAGATTCTTCATAAATGCAGACAAGTAAAGGCCACACAGCAGAGCAGAGCTGGTGGGGATAGTGATTCTATTAGAAAAATAGGTTCAATTAGAACATTATTAGGACATTCTAATAATATTCAGTTAGCATACAATCAAATAAGTTTTTAAATTCTTCAAAGCTAAAGTTACCTAGCAAGCTATATTATTAACATAAAAGTAGAAACTGGCAAGCATTATGTAAACAAATTCCATGTCTGCTTTCTTTAAGGTAACAAGATTTTGCTAGATTATCAACCTCTTGCTTATCCACAGGAAACAGATGAGGATCATTCCTTTCCTGCATCTAGAAACTGATGACAACACCATCTCACTATCAATGCCAGATGGCAACCATCTAACTCTGAGAAAACAACCAAACACCATTCCTGGATTCCTGCCCACTGCAACAAAGCTTCGCAATACAAGTTGAAAACCTCATGATTTTGCATCCTCATTTATATGAGTCTATAACCCAACATATAATCCAGCATAAGAAAGGGTCTGATAATTGTGGGTGTGATTTAAATTTAAAGGTGAATACATACAGAGAACATACGTGGATAAACTCAAGTCACTACCTAACATATAGACAGACAATTTTAAACACATAAAAACAAAAAACTCGATGATTCTAGCTTTCCCCTTAAAAAATTATAAGTCACCTAAAGCTGGTATTCCCTAAAACAAACCAAAGTTTAAGACATTTCCCCTAACTGAAAAAATTACTATTTATTAAATTTTCTCAGCATTCTAGGTAAAAATCTACCATATTTCACATTTATCTTTTAAGCTTATATCCTGTTGTTTCACTTAAAAATATTTCCAAAGACATCATCTCATTTGTGCAATTGGGGAAAACAGTGAATCAGAATTTGTCATGCATCTAGACTGGAAGAATATAACTAGTGAGCCTGAAAATTTAGCAAGTAAATTTATTATTAAATTGTAGATTGTGTCCAGGCATGATATATTATTATACAAATGCACAAAGAATTATAGAGCAATAGACCATTATGAATAGTGTGCAATCCCTGACACCATGCTTAAATCAGGTTCTGGTCTGTGAGCCATGCCTGACTATATCTATTACATAACTGTTGTCTTAAACTTGTAAATTTCAACTACATGTCAAGTGAGCTGAGGGTTAGAATCACGTTTTTACTCAAAGTAGGATTCAGGGGAGCTGGAAACCGTCTCCTCTCTCTCTCCTGTCCCTATTACTTGGTCTTTGGCGGAAAAAAAAGTGATAATCACAGATATTGTGTCTTTATAATTGAAATATATGGAATCAACAACAGAATTCATAAGGCTTGGGCTGGGGGATGGAATAGATTGAGCAGAAGTAAAAAGTTTGAACAGGGAATGCTACTTTTAGAAAAATAAATAAAGGATTCATGAAAGGCTGATTTCTGTTTTAAAATCTAAATTGTAAAAAACTCACTTGCTAGTACTATAAATGGACCTATTCTCCCAGGGACACACAAGGAACTCACTAACTAAACTCCCAGTGGGGCTGGTCCATGCTCCAAGGGTATCAAACTCTCCCAAGACGTCTGTGGTGGTGGTGGTGTTGCCAACATTCTCTGAGGTCCACCTAAGTCTTTGAAAGCTGCCCATCCCCATTAACTTAAGCTTTTTGGCAATCACAACGCAAACTAGGTTGAAACGGCTAATACAGTTTTAAACAATCTCAAGTTCTTTTTTCATATGGAAGAAACTATGGAGGATTCTTTCAACTCTGGTTTCTGAATCAACTTGAACTTTTTTTCCCTTCAGCACCCACTAAGTGCTACTTACAGGAATGTCTTTCTGTGTTATGGCAAGTTTTCTGCATTTCAATGTGAAGTACTTAACATGTCCATGTTAAATTTTAATTTTTGGAATCAGTCACTTCACGCTAGCCGACTCTGGGACAGCTATAGCTCTTACAGCCGGAAAAAAAAATAAAAAAAACTTCGCTGGAAAACCAGCTTCGCAGCCTAAAAGTCTATTTAAAGATGCAAATGTGTGTGCATAGTTAGTACAGATGTTTTTCTACAGCAACTGTACTTGCTGAGTTTCACCATTTCCATAAAGCACATTAAAACAAGTGTGTGAACACTCGGAGATGAAAGTCTCAAACACTCCTGAGACTTTCAGTGGAAAGTAGAGCCGCCTGACTTTTCTCCAAGCAGACAGGAATGCCCATGATTCAGCAGCCTGAGTAAATAAAAGAGGTCCTTATTTCCTAATTTTGCTGGCTGGCCACACTGCAGCAGCCTCTGTGCTCCTGCCAAAGGGGATGCAGAACTGGAACTACACCCAGCTGCTGAAGGCCTGCCTTTGTTAGCCAGCCAGGCTTTCCCGACCATCTTCTGGCAACAAAACTGCCATATCCTGCAAGGAAGACCTCCATCTCAGGCTTGATGGTTCTCTAGTCTGCCGAAAAGGACGAAACAACAGATTTTGCCGGGTCTATGTCAAAGAATGACAGCTGGAAACTCAGTTAGGGGCAGAGCAACACCTGTTCGGTCATATTTATGGGGGAAAGTGCTCACTAACAGAAAAGTGAAGTCATACTAGAAGGAGGTATTCCACAGAAAAAAGGCACCAGAGCACAAAGTACCTTGACATGAGCCACCAGCCCATCATGTGCCAACCTGAGGAGGAGAGAGAGTAAAGACTGCATGTGATTTTATCCCGGCTGCTGGGGACAGACAGACAAGCATACCCCAGGAAGGGCTGCTCGGTGACCAAATGGGGGCCTGATATTCCCAGTTTACAGCCTGCCATGGTGAAAGAGAAATGCTGAGGGTCCCAGCCACTCTTCAGCTTTCAAGTCTAACCCAGGTAGCTAATAAAAAAAAAAATAACATCAAAGAAGGAGAAGAGACGATGTGCAGGAAGGTTTGGGGCAATGCTAATGCATATTTTGTACCATTAAGCACATCTTAGTAAGTGTAAGGTACATGCTTCTTGAGGGCAGGGGCCAAGCCTTTTAGAATATTGACTTCAACGATATGGGCAATTTGAAATTACTAGAGAGAAAGTCAACTAACAAGGTGGGTTGAATCACTATAGATGTTAAAGAAAATATCCAAATCTCTGAAGTTATGGAAACTCCCAATACTTTTAGTTCTTCATAGGGCTGCGCCCGCGAGAAGCTGGCTTTACTGATATACTTTTGTCACCTGAGCTCATTCACTGTAACGGCAGACTATGCTCTAAACTGCCCTTCGGGGAGTCAGTATCATGTGTGTGCAAGTGCCACACAGCAAGGTTTCCTTAACAGGGACAGGATTTACATCAATGGTTCCTTTTCAAATGAGGAAAAGCAGCACAAATACCGACAGGTCTGTCCCTCTGTTTTCAGGAATGCAATGACTCAGAATGAGAACTAAAAGTCAAGAGTCTGGAGTTTTATTTCTAGCTTCCTAAGTGACTTAGAGAGTGACCTGGCCAAGTCATTTAATCTGCCCCTACCTAGGAATTTCACCTGCAATATGAAGATAATAATTCTTGCTACTTACCCTCTGGGGTGTTGCAAAGATTAGTGAATATTTCTAGGGCACCTATCATCGCTGGAAGAAAAGCTGCATATGTAAACACAAAGATTTATGTGTTGCATGTATTTATGTTTCCACATGTAAGCTTCTACGTACATAGAATAAATATATTTTAACATTTTCTTTCCTTTAATGGAACCACTGGAATATTAGCTTTAAGGATTGGCCCAATGGAAATATACAGTGCCTTAAGGAT